AATGAAAAATATGATTTAGAATTAAAATAGCATTTTTTCTTCTTTTGATATGGGAAATATGGAAATAAGAGGAAGATTGGTATGAATAAAATTTTTAGCTATATAAATGTAATTAATATTGAGAAAATCATGCCTGATAAAGATACTTCAAATATTGATCAGAAATCAAACTTTAACAAGAGCATGAAAAACAGGAAATTGATTTATGAGTTGATATTATTGTTATTTGTATAATATTACTAAAATATGATGAAGATGTTTATATCTAACTTTGTATACATCAATAGTACCAAGAATTGTAGTTGTGTAATGAGTGGAAAATGGAAAAAATATGGGGAAGAAAGGAGGATCAGGGAAAAAATACTAGATTGTGCAGTACTGAATAGATTTATATTGAGGAAGTTAATGTTAAATATGTGAATCCAGACAATATGTTGTTTACTAAGCTCTAAAGATTGTAATTCTTAAAAATTAGTTAAACTTTTTTTTAAAAAAAGCACCTTTGGGACATTTCCTCTGATTATTTCTCCTACCTAGAAATGTTGCTACTGAGGAAATACAATTTATTAACAGTCATTTCTTACTAATCCTTCAGCCATTTCATCATAGGCTCAACTGAGCCTAGTGGTGCCCAAAATGCAGGATGTTGTTTTTCAACCAAGTAATTCTTCTAAGATAAGCTGCATTTTTGATGTTTGATCTCAAAAAGCTCTCTCTGTTGTGTATGTGTACGTTAAGGAAGAAGGGTCAGACATTATTATTTAGAGGAGAAACCGTCAGGAAATAACAGAGCTGCAGGACTGACTGGGAATTAAAAACAAATTCCTGGAAGAAGACAGAGCCAAAACCATTTCCAAATTGTTTGTCACGAAAATTATATGGACATATATGTGAAGGTGACAAGAATTAAATGCAAGTTGACAGAGGCTTTTACATTTCCTTTTTCTCTTTCCAATTTTCCCCTCAAACTCCCTGCTACAGGTAGACCTTGACTTACAACAGCTCATTTAGTGACCTTTCAAAGTTACAACAGCACTGAAAAAAAGTGATGTAGGACCATTTTTCAAACTTAGGTCCATTGCAGCATCTCCTGGAATTAAGGAGAAACTTCCTAACAGTGAGGACAATTAACCAGTGGAATAGCTTGCTTTCAGAAGTCTTGGGCGCACCATCACTGGAAGTTTTTAAGAAGAGACTAGACAGTCACTTGTCTGAAAAGGTATAGGTTCTCCTGCTTGAGCAGGGGGCTGGACTAGAAGACCTCCAAGATTCTATTCTATTCTATTCTATTCTATTCTATTCTATTCTATTCTATTCTATTCTATTCTATTCTATTCTATTCTATTCTATTCTATTCTATTGTCATGTGATTTACATTAAGATGCTTGGTAACTGGTTCATATTTATGATCGCTGCAGTGTCCCAGGGTTATGTGATCACCTTTTGCAACCTTCTGACCAGCAAAGTCAAGGAGGAAGCCAGTTTCACTTAACCTTGTTACTAACTGCAATGATTCGCTTAACAAATGTGGCAAGAAAAGCCGTAAAATGTGGCAAAACTCACTTAACAAATTTCTCACTTTGCGACATACATTTGTGGTCGTACGTTGAGGACCACCTGTACTTCTTTCCAGCATATATCATCTAATTACATCCTTTTGACTTTCCTTGTTTTCTTTCATGAGAACTGCCATTTCCTAAGCCAGGGAACCCATCACTGCCTTTGATTTTTCCATTCTTAATATTTTCAACTTTTGATTCTGCTTCCCCCAAGACACTGCGATTGCTCTCTCCTTTAAAGCATATTCTAATAGTTGTGGCATTCCTACAAGTGCGATCTGATCATCTTTTGCCCATTCACTTGCCCACATCCCACTGCATTTCTGCCTCTGAAATTAATTCATTGGGAACCTACTACCCTTTACAGTACATCTCCGGATATTGTAGAGCTCTTAACCATTGTTTCAGACCTTAATATTGCCTTGCTTTCTTCTTCGTTGCGATTGCACTCATGACTCCCCTCCAATCAGCTCCTTGTCTTTTTCTTTTGACCTCTGTCCTAGGGCAAACTCTCCAATGATCTGCCTTATGTATTGCTGCCCTCATCAAAATCTATTCTGTCTCCCCTTGATCATCATATCCTTTTCAAAACTGCAACGACCTGAATTCAAAACGTTTTTCTGTGTTCTGTTACTTTCTTCTCTAATGATATCCATCCTACTGATCCCATGATAGACGTGCTCCAATTTTCAAGCTTAACTAAAATAATGAATATCATTTCTTTAATTACTTTGCTCCTGCAGCCTTATTCCTCCCCTCCAGTGTGTTAAATGTTCAATTTGAAACTCCTTGGGATCTATATTTTTTATCCTCTAAGCCATATAGATGTGTGACTCTTTTTAAGCTGAACCTTCACTTGACCTCCAAGTGGTATGCTGGGGGGATGCATAAAGAACTGGTGGAGCTAGCATAAAACTACATCTGATTTGGTTTCAATGTAATTAAAGCTAATATGTTTAATATTCTTTTCCCTTCTGTCTCATCAGAAAGTACAATTTCTGGTAATTTCAGGAGGAGGTCTGCATTAAAGCTTGGTGTTAATCTCTAAGCACCATGCATAATGATACTAATTCCATAATTTTAAAGATGACAAATTAATGGGATGTACTGTAATTGGGATACGTTTTCATATGCTAAAGCATCAGGTGCCGGTTCTGTTCATATCAAACAGCCTTATATGGTGTCAGATATATCTATCTCTGGGCAATATCTCTGGGCTATATTTGTCATGTATCGCAGCACTAACCCTGGCATGTCCAACCCACAGTCCGCATGAAGCCCTGGACAGCCAGTAATGTGGCTCCACAAGATCGTAAACTTGTGCAAGACCATCAATCTGGAGTACCTATGGCCCCAGAAGAGATGCAATTCTAGCCTCCCTTGAAGTCTGTTGATACCAATTCTCCTTGACCGTTACTATTTCAGATTCTTGTGTATAGATAGCATGAAATAAACTTGTAGTACTTTTGAACTTATCCTGGTTCCTGACTTCTTGCACCTGACAAAACATATCATTATGTGATTTATGCCCATTAACTATATTGTATATTTTACATGTGGCCCAGGGCAATTCCTCTTTACTCAAACTGGCCTGATCAAACCAAAAAGTTGGACAACCATGGTCTAACATGAACAGCACTGATTCCTTACAGACATTCTCACTCTTGCTACCCAGACCAAAAATGGAATCTGAGAGCACACCTATGCAAAACAGCAACTTTCTCAGTCAACTATAGGAGCTCTTCTAAATCACAACTATATTGCTAAATATTATTATTTTTTTATATGGGTAACGCTACTCTGCAGCTTTGTTAAGAATCAATGTAAGTCTGCCATCTCTAAAGTCAAGCATGTGGATAGTTCACAATTTTAAAATGATTTTCTTTGCACTGTAGCTGAAAGGATGGAAGACTTTTCTATAAAGTGGGAAGGTGGAAGAAAGAAGTCATGAGGGGGAAGAATCCCCCATCATTTAAAAGGTAAGTGCTGAAAGTAATGGAATTTTGTGCAAGTTATGAATTTTAAACCACTTCCAGAAGCTATGTTGTTTACAGCTGGATGTGAGAGGTTCCTGGCAGAATACGAATAAGGGGGGCATTGGAAAACTGCTTTGGGTCACTCTTTTTTTTTTTTTTTTTTTTGCTTATTTTCAGTTTCTTTGACTTTAACTCTTTTGAAACTCAGGTAACAAATTAAACTCTTTTGAACATCTGGAGAAAACAATGGGGAAATATGAAGCTTTACAAAAGGAGCAATTGAGGCGCCAGAGTATTGTAAAAGAGATGATATAAAGGGCACAATTTTCATCCTCTGCAGACAATATGTTCTTTCTTCTGTTTCCCAAACAAGTAAACGTATTTGTCAGTTTCTTGTTCTTTTGTAATTTCACTTTTTAATGTTTTTGAATTTGATTGGCTATATTGCAGTTTTTCCAGTATTATATTCCCAATGTGACTTGTAATTTAGTTGGATCATAATCCCAAGAATAATCCCAAGAATCCCAGTCACCACAAAGCATATTATATGCAAGAGTAGCTGTAGAGTTGGTGATCAGAAGGGAGGAATGAAAAATAATAGATAGCAGTTTTAAAAACAACCTTTCTAATCCCTTGTAAATTGGTAATATTCATATTAAACACTGAGTGCCATTGCTTCTTCTTGAAAGAAATGCAGAATAATCTAGGTTAGGCTATTTGTCCATCCAGCCTGGTATGTTCCTTGATCCTTCTACCTAAAAATGTCAGGATTTGACCCCTTATTTGCAACCTATCATAGTTGTGCCTCTTCTTTATTTTCTAATGATGGTGGCAGGGGGTTTTATAAGGATACTTGGGCAAAGGGAGTGGCACACACTCACAGTCCACATCCATGGAACCTTTAATCTGAACTGTCGACAACATTATTGTGCAGTTGGCATCATGATATAGGCAAAGAAGTTTTACTCTAAGATGGTGACCGCCTATCCTGCCCAAAGAGCTTAAGTGACCATTGTAGTAATAGTAAGCTATGCTAGCTTGACTAGATTGCTCCTGACTTTTTCTACCTAGCTAGGAAAAAGTGAGATACAAACTGAATAATCAGCAAACAAATTAGAAAGGAATGTTGCTGATTATAAGAATGTCATCTTACCAAATAGTGAGTTAAGAGGAGACCATAGGCCATATGCCATGCGCTGCCTGTTTAATAGCTCCGTTATAAATTCCAATCAATATTTGCTTCTTTTGCTTAAATTAGGAGAAAAAAATATCCTGGATAGAAAATAGGCACAGGCCCACATGAACATTGTTGCATCGTTATAAATCTACATGTTCTTTCCCCAAAACTTTCAATCATTATTTTCTACTCGTTCTACCACAAGGATGTTGGCTTGGAGCAACTGTCGACCTTTTCATCCTGCCCTCTGTATTATCAATAATCTGGCTTGAAAACATTTAGGCTTACCTATCAAAGAAGTCAGTGATGAGTAGGAGCTAACTCTCCTCATCTTGTCAATCGTCTCAAAAGACAAGATATATTCTTCATTTTCAGGGCTGCCCAAGGTGCTACTGGCGCTGCTGCTGGTACTCAGATTCCCGGGGGAAAATGCAACAGAGCTTCCAGCTATTGAATAAAAATAAGAACACAGACACTGAACAAACACTTATGCAAGGACTATGCCCCATAAAGTATGAATACATATGAAAATTTGAGGGCGAAGGGAGATACTTGGTTTTGCAGTAGTTATTTATTAGCCACATGCAGAAATCCTAGTGACTGCAATGTGGCATCACACATTAATTCCACCATTTTGCCACCAGGCTCCATCTGTCTGAGGCTTAGCTTCTTCTCAGTAAGTTTTATTTTATAAATTAACATACCAGTTCTGCCTCTATTCTTGAAAAGTCAAAAAAAAGACTATTTCAGAAGGGGTGTCATATCATGGTATGCTCAGTAATGGAGAAAAAAGAAGATCATACCAATATTAATTTAAATATTAAAACTTATCTGACAGCAGAAATTAGCAGACATAGGCAACTTTGTAATGTATTTTGGGAATGCATGAATGATTTGGGACTCCCTACACAGTATATGCTTTTCTGTAAAAAAAAAAAAAAAAAAAAA